TAAACAATTTTCTGTAATAAAACAGACAACATGACCATATGTCTGTACTTTACTAATTAGAAGGCCACAAAAAAGTACGTCCGTCCTACGCAATCAGTATCTATTGTGATGGCAGCCTTTGTCTTGTAAATAACACAAGCAATAAAAAGCAAAAAAAAAGTCAGTGCAAAAGCAAGCGGTCACTATTCTGTTGTGTTCCCATAGAGCGTGTCCGAGCGGCGCGTAATGACGGCGACAAAGGCCGGCCAGCGCCGCCGCCGCCGGATGTCTCCGCCGACCATGTCCTGACGTCGAGGATAAACACTTATTTGATATAATTTAAATAAATTTAGATAATAATAGTACGATCCACTGTCCCGATGAGATTAAACGATATCACTGTAAACAAATGCGATAATCACGCGCTAAAAGTAGAGTGGTCTATCTATATGCAATCTACTGAACTCATCGAGTGCTATAGAGTGTTTGTGTAAATACTCGTCCTTATATTGTTCTGCGAGTATTCAGTATAGCGAGCTCCGTGGATACGGATACGCTTTTCGTTCATTCAAAATACTATTATCTTCTTTAGGAATAAGCTTAAAAGTACTAATGTTATTTAGTTTACATTTTTCGCCTCCTTTTAAAATTCGTGCTGCAACTGAACGTATCGTAATCAAAGAAGGCAGTTTATTAGAGGTGGTTACCGAGCTCCCTCTTTTGCATTTGTTTTTTTCGTTAGTTGCGAGAGGCGAGTGTGAAGCACATAACTACTTGAAGTTGTTCCCCTTCGAGTCATTACTTGACTCTCAGTGAAGGTTGTTACGTATTGATATTGTTTGCTTCTCATTCTATCCAAGCGGTAGCTTGGATAGATTCTTAGAGTATTTGTATTCACCGGATCCTTACAACTTACTGGGAAACAACTTGTCTGTACCATTTAATTACTGAGGTTAAAACGAGCGTTAATGGTGCAGTTGTTAAGGGCTCGATCGGATTGGAACGACCAGGTTCGATCCCCGCCATGTACCTGTGAGATTTTCGATTTTAGAATTTTATATACCTACATTTATCCAAAGTTCTTGCGGCGAAAATATCTTGTGGTTAAATATGGCCTAGTTTTTGGAGTGTTTAAGTTTCAATTCTTAACCACTTAGAAGCAAGAGGTTTTGTACGAGTAGGTGACGGCAGGCAAAAGTAGACGATGGTAGCTCGAGCGAAGGTTGCCATCTGCTGCCATCGCAGGAATCATAAAGTTGTATCGCGACTTACCGCTAAGAGAAACACTAATAGACTCGCACTCCCCTAGTTTGGCTTCGGGCACGAGCGATTGGCGTTTTTGATATTTAGATATTTTAAGTTAATTTTGCGTAGATTAAATAAATATGATATTTAGCACATTCCTGTCAGCGGCCGACATCACGCCAATATTTACTCTACAAACATTAAAACCGTTGAAATCTATTTACCCATAACACTGACATGTCGATCAAAGATAATTAGCAAAATCTAAGTAACGATACGGAGGAAATTATTTCAAAATTGTACAAGAATCAGATATAAACTAAGCACTAAGTCTCTCGGCGCGATAGTAGATTATTTAGAAAATCATTAGAATGGAAACTTTATAGCTCTTTGTTTTAACTCTGAAAGTATAATTCTTTCCACTGATTAGTAACTTGTAATATTAATTTGTTATAACGATTTTTTAACAAATTAATATTTTTTCGGCCCGCTGGTACTCATCGCATGTTTCACATTAATGGTGCTCTTGAAATGATGGTTTCATTTCAATGTATGAGGTCGCCAGCACGGTGCGGCGGCGGCGGTGTGCTGCCGCGTTTACACCCCGGTAAAGAGTCGCTCTCAGTCGTGACAACACTCCCGGGCCTTATTAACTGCAGAAAGTTTGCGCGGCGCGGCCACCGCGGACCCGCAAAATATTAACAACCTAAACAACTCAAATATTAACCGACGTTGCTCAGCTCTACCTAACATTGTTTTAAATTTTAAAACGATAGCACCGAGATACATTTATGTTATGTTTTCAGACACTGCTTTTAATAAAGGTAAAAGCCTTTTGAGAGTTTTTTTTTGTTGAGGTTAATGATGTTGCTAACTTAATACATTTTAACTTTATCTCAGGTTTGTAACGCTGACAGTTTTCATTTATAATTTTGTCCAGGTAAGAGAAATTCATGTCACTTTATGCCATCTCCACGATATTATACAATGGAGCGGTACATTAGTTGTGTACTTAGATGTTTATACATATTAAAAGACAAAAAATTAAAGTACGACTCATTGCAATGATAAGGAATCGAATGACGAATCATTGCCGGCGCACTCGGTCAACTCCAGTGTACATACACAATATATTATATTTACATATATTGTATACACTGGATGGAGTTGAGCGCCGGCTAACACTTACATGTTTGCACTTCCGCTGCCGATGTTTATCTGTATTGCGTTACGAGTTTCAATAAATTGCATATAGATGGACCCACTTGCGTTTATTCTACGATTATCTTATGTTGAGACGTGAAGTATATCGTTTAATTTCACACTATTTACACGTATAGTGTTTGAGGGAAATCATAATCGGTTAATTTTTTCTTCGAACTAAAACGGAAAATTACAAAATCCACGACCCAAATGATTTCATTTTAATGTAAAAGAATTTCAGAAATCTTGTTGTTTACAACTCGATGACCACATGTCACACATTGTATATCAACATCCCCCTGCAAGTGTCCGCGTTCCGCTGCGTTCCCGCGAGGGCCTGACCGCGCCCCCGAGCTCGTCCCGGCCCTTCATATAATAAATGTGTAAACCATCTCGCGTCCCATTGAATTGATTGCTTCAGCACGTGACGGTGCTTTAATAATAACACTTATTTAAATATTTAAAGTCAATTCTACATTTCACAAGACGTGGGATTATAAAAAAATAGCCGAAATAACGACACGGGTAGGTAAATCTTCAAGAAATGAAAGTACCTTGCCTTTTGTATCAAGACAGCGTTTGCGCTCATCAGTGTAAAACTAAATTCATCAGTATTCAAATTAATGTAATTTTTATAATTAATTTCATGTACAATAAATTACGGAATATGATATTCCGTAAATCGTTTGGCGACAAATTTAGCAATAAATCACCGCTTGTTATTATACTTAGCGTTGGGAGCTTCATTAAAGTTTTATAACTTCGCGGAAAATCCTTACTTAAGCCGCGGCACGAGGCACGTTACGTTTTTCAATAACTTTCCCTCAACAGTCCCGCGACAGTCCAGCGCCCGTCCCGACACAGTCCAGCGACAGTCCAGCGCCCGTCTCGCGACGTTGCTCTAAGCCGATGTCAACTGTTCTGTAGCACAAACGGACGTGAACAAATTGTCTAGATGAATATATTATATTTTAGAGCAAATGTAATTCGAAGCAATCATTTTCATAGTATTATTTGTATGTATAGTTTTGCAATACACGTACATATAATCATAAACAGCAGCAAACTAATATAAGATAGTACAGTCTGCAGTTATCGAGTTATCGAAATTAAAAACAGCTTGTCATTGGCAGTTGGATGGCTTTTGATTATAGACAACATTTATGTCATTCACAGAAAATCCCCTATGATTTTTCTTGTAAATGAAGAATGGATTAAAATATATTATTTCATTTAACATAAAGATATCAACAGTGTAGTTACATACATAATATTTATAATTTGTTTCATCGGGGCCCTGGACCGTCGTGCAGAGAATGTGGGGATTCCTCGCGGCCTCACAGGCCGAGCGGAGCTCTGCCTCCACAGACATTATGGACATAAAGTGTCGTAGCAGTGACACACAGCGATTCGCAATCTCAGAGCTAAAGAGATGAAACAAACGACGACACAGTGCCGGGACCGCCGCCGCCTCTCTTAATTAAAGTGTGTAATGAGAGGTCATCTCGCCCCGCCGGCCCGCCGCCCCGCCGCCTCGCAGTCCCTTGACTACTACCGCTACTTCACTTGATTACATAAGACCTTGGCATTGTAGTTGATCTGCAGCAGATAACAGATTCATACATTTTGTTATCTTATTTAATTCCATTACTTGTTCAATATTAACACAAATCGGTCGGGAGAAAAAAAAATATATTTTAAAAGTTTGAAAACAACACGTGCGAATGGCATTTCAAATACAAGACGTTCCTAGAAAATTAATCGAACATAAATAAAATGTTTATCGGAAATGTTGAGTCGTTTGGAAAACTGTCGATCAAGATGTCCCCGACTGATAGCGAAGCGCGTCATACGTAGGATTGAGCTCGGCTTCCTATCGAATGGAAAAAATATAAAGAGAGTGAACGTAAAAGCTCCAGCGGCCAATGTGGAGATAAGCCGAGCTGACAAAGACATAAAAACAAAAGTGAACCCTCTCGATGCGAGAAAATAAGGAAAAATCGCAGACTCATTAGAGGAGTGCGGCGTCCGAGCCGAGCTCGTACTGCACCCCCGCCCCCTGCGGCCCACGCCCCGCGCCCCGCACCCCGCGCCCTTCAACGCCCCGGGCTGTGCGATGATTAAATTCGCCGCGAGCGGACTCTGCGACTCCGACAATGGTCCTCAATGTAAACGCGCCGCTCCGCAGCGGCCGCCGACGAGCTTTTAATACACCAGCTCCCTTTGTCTCGGCTCTAATTTATTGCTACCTGTTGGGACGATCTCCGCCCGCTGCGCCGGTGTCGCCCTCGCTCGCCCGTTTAGCTCCCGATTGAAAAACTTTAATATCAGCACGGGCCCGGTCCGGCTTAGAGCCGACTGCGCCGTGCTGCGCTGTCTAATGAAAATGAAAAAAATAATTCTGAATGATGTTCGACTTTGATGAGCTTTTTTTACTATTTACTTTTCAGGCTGATAAGATACTAATGACCTTTGAGATCAATGGTAGACTAGAAATAAATGTTTGTCGTCGGAGAACCAGGCTTGTGACATGAATCGTAGTCGGTGTCACTGAGGTGTGTGTGTGTGTGCAGGCGGCGCGGGCGGCGCGGGCGGCGGGCGGGCGCGCGCAGCTCGTGCTGCTGGAGGTGGCGCCGTGCGGGCTCACCGTGCGCGACGCCCGCGACCAGGTCACCGCTGACTCTACGTAACGCTACAACACTCTCATAAACACACTACTTACCCACACCACCAATCAGAAAAATTGTTGCTTTATATAGAGTTTATTGAAGGAAAACATCGTGATGCAACCTGCACATATCTGAGAAGAAATTCAAAGATATGTGTGAAGTCGACCAACCCGCACTTGGCCAGCGTGGTTGACTATGGCCTAATCACCCTTAATTTAGGGTAGGCTCCGAGCCCCTCGGTGGGGACTTATAGTGAGCTGATGATGATGATGATGATTGATAGAGTTTATATGACATCTTTACTTTAATATAAAATGATTCACTCTCGTTAAATTCTTCAGTGGGCGATATCGGTGCTTAAGTAATACTAAAGTATTGCTGCTAGCGTTGTGTGAGGACAGACAATTAGTTTATAAAATTTCTATAATAGTAGTTTTTCGTTTCGTATGAGAGTAGAATGATTTGCGAATGCAACGAGTAAGGTTTTGTAAAGAAGGTGAGTGCAGGGCGCGAGCGCGGCTGACCCACATCTGGCAGCTGTTACATATTGAAGTGGAGACGAGACGACATACACTCGAGATCATTTCAATTTTAAATATGCTCTCGTTGAGCTCGGAGAGGTGAAAGCTTGAACAAGCAAACCACAAATGTACATATGATGTGTTGATATGTTTTATCTACACTCATATCCTTGTTGGAAATATAAAACCATATAAAATAAAATTTGCACGTTAAATTTTTTTAAATATATATTTTTTATGCTTCTTTATTTGTTTTGAAAATAGTTTTTTAGTATTTAGCGTTTTTGCACATCAAACCAGTATCAAAAACAATGTGTGAAATGTATCCCGTTTACGTTAACGCAGTGCGTTCTGCAAGCTCGCATCCTTCCCCACGACAATTTACTGTTACATCATATTGTCAAAATAGCAAAGTGAATAAGTTAGAAGACTGATGGGTTGCCTACATTTAAAGGTCAAAAAGAAGGATCTCGGATTTTTTTTCCAACATCCCCTCAACAAAACCACTTCCCCTTCCCATCCTTTCCTCATTAGGAAAGAAAGGAAAGGGGAAGAGGACCAAAATCGGTCTGAGACGCACACACACATATCAGACGAGACGCGTAATTTGACGCTGCTCTCGTGGTGTTGCAACGGGCCGCGCCCAGTGTACAGCAGTTTTAAAGTGCCTCCTTTTGTGTACAGAGCGTGCGCATGCGCCACGCGCTACGTCGCATCTCGCACGCGACGTGCGCGCCGGCGAGCGCGCTGTTCGCGCTGGTGGCGCGCGAGCCGCGCAGCGACGCCGCCCGCCGCTACTGCCACGCATTTGAGACCGATACACCGCAACAGGTCAGTGCACAACAACTAATTGTCAGAAAAAATGATTTCGCCTCAAGTAGGATAATTATCTTCCGCATGCTCTTCGTATATAATGGCCATTAATTTTGAATCTGTCGACATCTTAGTATCAAATCGCTAAAGAGTTTTGTGCCTTTAAAAGTTTCATTCAAGGACAATCCTTTAAAATGCCACAGTTGTAATGAAATATCTTTTGTTTTATGTTTTTCAAATTTATCTTGACTTGCTGTCCCGCCTTCCACCGGTGTATAAAAACGCTACAGCTTGTGCGTTGTGCTCTTGAATCACAGTTGTAGTCGCGCTGCACTCGCTATTATTGCGCTTAAACTTTGCCATGGCTCCGAGCCCATATCCCGCACCTCTCGTCCCGCACCTCCCGCACCTCCCGCACCTCCCGCGCCTATGTCCGCTACAAGAGCTATAAACTAAAGTTCTAATCTTTGTTGACGAAAATACATCTCTTTTCTCTACGAAGTTTGTTGAGCCATCAGCAAACTTAAGGCTTGGTGTAAAAATTCAACTTTATTATTTAACGTTATATAAAGATAAATAGGAAGAGGATAACTTGACATACTTCCTAATTACATAGTTTTTCAGTGATCATATGAAAGATTTTTTCATATTATGAATGTTGCCTACAGTTAATAGAAGATTTACTTCCTTCGCATTAACAATTAGTTATAAGTGCAGGTCGTGTTGCAGTCGCAACTCACGCACTACAATTAGTAGCTAGCCGCTATCATAAGATATGACACGGCTCGCTGTTCTCCTCTCCTCCCGCACACACCTACCACAGTTAAGATCCATATTATTTTGTTCATGTCTACAATGAATGGTAGAAGAGCAATTTGTATTAATACTGATTTGTAATGCAATGAAAAAAGTTTAGAACAGTAGCAATATTACTGTTATGGTATTCGCGAGATAAACATAATTAAGAATAAGTAGACGTACAACCACAGAGATCTCATTGCAACTGCAACAGCTAAACAAATGTGAAAGACATGCCTCAATATTCTGACTGTTGGAGCAGTGTGTTCACCACTGCTCAACTTCATCAAAAGTTTGATAAAAATTATAGCTCTCTCGTCAATCTACTCGTAATTATGAATTAGTGTTTGTATAATATGTAAATGCCGTTTAACAGAAACAATGTTTTTACAGAAGTAAACACAAAGATGTAATACTTGTTCGAATACAGCACTAGAAGGTACTCAAGCTGACCAATTTGGCAAGTCGTCCGACCATCTCGTGTGACATCTACCACTATGAAATGGTTTTTACGATTGGAAGATCAAAGTCGCTATTTGTGTGTCGATGCATATTTTGACTAACTACATTTATAAGATCGATATTTGCAATGATAAACTATCAATGAAAAGACATTTTGTGGAATGTATGTCACCCTGCGGTCGCGTTGCCGCTCGGCGGAGCTTAGCGGTGCATTCCGCGCGGCGACCTTGCGGTGAGGGCGGAGGGCGGAGGAGACCACATTCCTCGACCGAAGACTGTGATGTCGCCGTCAGTCGGCGCAGCATGGCAGGGCCTTGTGCCCACTCAACAGTAATTTCATTCAGCTGTCGTCGCTTAAATAGAACGACAATAACGAGGCGCGATCTATTGCCTCACAGTGCTGCTCCTGCGCTCTCAGTCGAAACCGCTGCATTAAAAAAAAATCGTCATTGAATGTAAATCTTCTTCAGAAGGCGATGGTTCGTTAAATAATTGAAGGAGTCCTGCGCGGGTCATCGACCACCGAGGGGCGAGGGAGGGGGGCGTAGGGGCGGGGCGGGCGATGAAGGTGCATCGCCTCGGAAAGGCAAAAATAAAAGTTCGCGATTTTCTGCGGTACTTGGCACAGATGAAACATGCGCGCAACGCGGCTGCGACTGCGGTGCGGCGCCCTCGCAGGTCGACTGCGTTGCCGCCGCTCCCGCCGCACCCGCCGAAGGCTTCGCCGCGCGCTCGGGAACGGGTTCCACACGCGACGCACACCACACGCGCTTCCACCATTACCCACCAATACCATTCCACTCGACTCAGTCGCTAACGGATCGCCGTCGAGAGTGGACGTGTATAGTATCTTGTCGAACCGGTTACACGAGTGTCGGAGAATGATGTGCTTGAAATTATTGATAGTTTAGCTCAGGGTGCATTTCATAGTGAGTGACCGCGTGCCGGGCTGCCGGGCGCTCCAGGGAGCTGCGCGGGGCCGGCGCACGCGCACCGTGGGACCTTTGCACCGGTATGTAAGTTTAAGCCCCGCATGTCGGCCGCAACGAGACCCCTGTCATTGTTTCTTTGTTTATTTTACTTATGAACTATTAAGAAACATACGAGAGGTGAAGTTATTTTCTGTTTGATTAACTTGGTTAGCGTGCATTTAGTATCATACAAAAATAAAAATTAGTAACAAAAACTTGCAGTCGAAATCAGTTTAGGACAAAAAAAGGTCTGTATGTTCGAACAATAAAATTTGATTAGTGTTCGTTCCTTCGCTCCGGCTTAAACAAACAATACAAACAAAGCTGTGGCGTCTACCTGATCTCTTAATTTTCCAGTCATTGTCAACGTTTTTACGCCTTAACTTGTACCGACCCTTTTTAAAGGGATCATTTTGTAAAACGAGCTTATCCTAAAGTTAACGCTGGTTTCATGAGACATTCATGAGTGAGTTCATTGTTCTCTGTGTCGCAAATTATTGTTACAATTACATACATAATTAATTTATGCACAAATGTGCATTTCTTTATTGAAATCTATTAAGTGTTCTGTCGTTCATTCAACTTTATTTTCTACTTTGTATTCTTATAGCTACAAATAGAAGTAAATTTAATATTTTAGCATTTAAAAAGCTTATTTAAAAAGGAAGAATAAACAATGGTGTGCGCTCAATGATGTTTGAAGCCTTAAATTTCTCGTTGCACTTCGCAAGCTTTGATATTTGAATGTTCTCTGGGAAATATTATGAGGAGGATTGTGTTTTGCGGGAGAACAACTCGGTCGGATCAAGTGTCGCCTCCTGTCCGCTGCGGGGGCCGCCCAAATATTATAATACATTTATAGATGAGTCTTGAATTTCAATGAAGCCGACGTTATTGTCATATAAATTTGAAGGTTGGTTGTAAGTTTTTATTAAACTTGTGTTTAGTAAAACTGATTTTGATTTGCAAAATTCAAATATATTGATGATAAAATTAATCACCTACATTTATTATTTTGTTCATAAAACAAGAAAATATTGAAGATAATATGATTGTGTATAGACGTGATAACATACAATGTTAAGATTGCCTCGTATGCATTCTGGAAGTCGCGGGCAAAGAGGGAGAGATGAGGTGTTGTTTGTGCATGTCAGCTGGCAGGGTAAGAGCTCGTCAAGATCAACGCAAAAATCAAACGAGCGACGGCTACGTTTATCAATACGGGAGAGGTATCAGTGTACATGACGTCACAGCGTTCTGCAAGTATCCAACACGCAGGTGTCATCAGGCGCGAGCACACGCAGCTCTTCAAAGTGATTAGTTTTCGAGCAGTAGTCGCACATGTATGTACACTGGCTTTATTGTCAGTGCTTGCTCTATCAACTATTTATTGCACTTTTATTGTGTTATTCGTATTTTCGATGTGCAATTACTTTTCACTAATAGTTCCGTTAAT